CCCCCATGGCCTCCCACCCCCATGGCCTCCACCCCATGGCCTCCCACTCTCCGTGGCTTTGTCTTCTTTCTCCCTCCTCATTCAGCCCAGGTCACCTGGCCTTTGGACTCTGGTCCCCAGGCCTTCCCTCTGAGACTGCTGCCCCCTCCCTCCTCCAGAGCTGGCTGCCCACCAATCTTCGTGGCCACCCTGACCTCTGCTGGTAGGCACTGACCTTGGACTCCATGAGGAGGGAGATGGACAGTGGGCAGAGCTGCTCCTAAGGCCTCTTGGAGGCCCTCACACCAGACCTGCCCAACTGCTGTCTGCAGTGCATGCCTCGCCCTGGAGGCCACCCCCTGGACGTGGGGCTGGCGGCTGGCCCAGGTGTCCAGCCCTTGCCTCGTAGCCAGCCCTGGTCAGAACCCGGCACCAGCAGCTCTTGGCTCCTCAGGACACCCTGCGGCCTGTCCGCCTGACCTGAGGCACTGCCCGAACTTCCTCCTGCCCCTCATGGCACTGCCCACTGCCACCCCTGTAGGGGCACCCAGATCCCCTCTCACCTCTGCCTCCTCTGTGCAGGCTGGGCCACCTTCGCAGTGGGGCCGGGCCACGGGGTCCAGCTACGCTCAGGCCGCCTGCTGGTTCCTGCTTACACCTATCGAGTGGACCGTCGGGAATGCTTTGGCAAGATCTGCTGGACCAGCCCCCATGCCCTCGCCTTCTACAGTGATGACCACGGCCGCACCTGGCACAGTGGGGGCCTGGTGCCCAACCTGCGCTCTGGCGAGTGCCAGTTTGCCCCAGTGGACGGAGGCTTCCTCTACTGCAATGCCCGGAGCCCCCTGGGCAGCCGGGTGCAGGCCCTCAGCCCCAACGAGGGCACGTCCTTCCTGCCCGGGGAGCTGGTGCCCACCCTGGCCGAGACTTCCCGGGGCTGTCAGGGCAGCATCGTGGGATTCCCTGCCCCAACCCCAGGAAGGCCTCAGGATCAGGGGCAGTCGCCGGGCACCGGGAGTCCCCCTCCCCCTCCCCCCCTCTGTCCTGGGGTCCCGGAGCCCTCTGGGGAGGGTGCTGAAGACCCTAATGGGGGCTTGGTGTCTTCTCAGCCCTTCTGCCTCCCACAGCCCTGGGGGAGTGGCYCAGGACAGCCTGCCCCTGAACCTGGGCTTGGTGAGGACAGGGGGGCCTGGATCCCAACGCTCCCCCTGCCCTCTGCTGCCCCACCTCGAAGCCCCACCTGGCTGCTGTATTCCCACCCTGCGGGGCGCAGGGCCCGGCTCCACATGGGCATTTACCTGAGCCGGGCCCCCCTGGACCCCCACAGTTGGACCAAGCCCTGGGTGATCTATGAGGGCCCCAGTGGCTACTCTGACCTGGCCTTCCTAGGGCCTGTGCCTGGGGCAGCCCCAGCCTTTGCCTGTCTGTTTGAGAGCGGTGCCAGGGTCTCCTACGAGGAGATCTCCTTCTGCATGTTCTCTCTGCCCGAGATCCTGGAAAATGTGCCTGTAGGCCTGGAGCCACCCCCCTCTGGGGACAAACCTCGGGGGCACTGCAGGCCCTCTTGATGGGCCCTCTGGCTGGGCACCCTGGGAGGGGGTGGAGTACACATCCTGGGGTGACCGCAGGATGGACAGAGCTCTGCACCCGGCTTCTGCCCTGGCGGTGGACCCTGCAGTGGAGGGGAGAGGTTTGCCTGTGGGTGGGGTGGGAGAAGGCCTCTTCCCCAGGCTGACCAGGTGGCCACTGCAGCTCTGGAGCTGGACAGTGAACCTCAAGAGCCCAGGGTCTCGTCTGCCCGGATTTTCCTTCCTCACTGGCAGACTGGCAGCTCATGTTCAGCAGAAAGCTTGCTACTCTCTGGAGTGAGAACCAGAAATAAAGGGCTGAGTGGTGTGTGGTGCACGTTCCCGTGTCCGAGCCCTGGGAAGGCGCTTCTCCAACCCCCTGCCTCAACCCTCCCTGCCCTGACCACGCTGCCCCAAATGCTCGGGGTGGCCGGCAGAAAGGAGGTCAGGAGGAGGAGAGGACTCGTGCCCCTCTGTCTGCTGTCCACTCGGTGCTGACCCCACCATGCTGGGATATGTTGATGGGTAAGGCCTTCCCGTCTCTGAATTTCTGGCTGCAGAAGCCACTGGGCTCCATCCTGCTGGCTGCCCCTGCCCAGAGGAGGGCGCATCTCCTGGGACCAACCAGCGTGCCCTGTGCACCTGGAGAGGGCTCGGGTGGCATGGGGCTGCTTTTAAAGTCCGACTTTCTAGTTATAAAATCGAATCTCTTTCTTTCTTTTTTGGGGGGACTGGGGATGAACACAGTGGTGCTTGACCACCGAGACACATCCTCAGACACATCCTGTTTGTATTTTTCGATTTGAATCAAGATCTCACTGAGTTCCTAGGGCCTTGGTGAATTGCCGAGACTGRCTTTGATCTCGAGATCCTCCTCAGCACTGGGTCACAGGCATGTCCCACCACGCCCGGCTGATGATATCTAGAAGACAGATAACGCTCTTGTCTGTCATCTCTCATCTATTTACCTGTCAATCACCTGTCATCTAGCTGTCTCTCACCTATCCATCTATCATCTGATATTTAYCTATCATCTAGCTGTCTGTCATCTATAACTGTCTTTCTCTCTCTTATCTATCATCTCTCTGTCATCTCATCTATGTCTGTCATCTGTCAATCATCGATCATCTGTCAATCATCTATCTATAGGCATGTTGCAGAAAACATGGAAGAGGTAGACAGCTCCTCAGAAGGACTGGAAGTGGCCCGCGGAGCCTCTCCTGGGCTGTGCCTGGCCTTCTGTGTGCCTCCCCGACCTCTGGCTTGCTGGGCACTGGTGCCCTTGGTGGGCACTCTGGGCCAGCAGTAGGTCTCACACGCCCTTGTGTCATTTCTTCACGTGTCCCTGCCCTGTGACCAGCTCCTTGGGTGTTTCTGGTCTGAGTTCCTCCTGAGGTGGCATGGCGCCTTGGGCTGTCTTCCCCGCAGGGTGGAGCGTCCAGGGAGCCTCCAGGCTACAGAGGGTCCCCAAGGGAGCAGAGGACCTCTTCATTCCGGGGCTCTGTGCTGCTGGCCGGGGAGCTGCTGTGGGGTCATCACTGGGCTTCAGACAGGGGCAGGAGGAGGAGCGGAGAGCCCCTGCTGGTCAGGCCTGTGGTGACGTGCTTCCTGGGTCACTAGGTCCTGCCGCAGAACCCGCAGACTGGCAGCTCCCGTTCMGCAGACAGCTGTTTCCTCAGGGTCCACTCTGAGGTCAGGAGGGCCTGGTTTCTGGCTTGTAGGTGAAGAGTGGGGACCCYCTGAGGCTCCTTGGTGGGCGCTGATCCCTCCCGAAGGCCCTGCCTGCGCCCGCTGCCATCTTGGGGGCAGGGATCTCAGCCCCCTCCTGGGGACGCATCTGGACCCTCAGCTTCCGTGTCTGAGTCAGAGAAGAGCAGGTCTCTCTCAGGTCCTGGGGCCACATGCGGGAGCCCTTCCAGCCCTCCTCTTCACTCACTGGGGCCAGCTGTGTCCCCCCACGCAGGTCCAGCCGGGTCCTCCGGTGGTGACCTTTGGATGTAGGGTCTTGGGCCTCCATGACCTTCCTGTGAAATCCAGGAAAGCTGCCTGGGTCAGGGTGAGTCCCCACCCCAGGACAGTGTCCTCCCAAGAAGAGGGGACTCTTCTTGAGACAGCTCTCCAGAGGGACTGGCAGTGGCCCGCGGAGCCTCTCCTGGGCTGTGCCTGGTCTGGACACAGGAGCCAGAGCAGAGTGGTGGAGGGGTGAGCCCCTGAGGGGGAGAGGAGCGGAGCCTCCCAGGGCCTCAGGGAGCGAGCCCGTGGCCCTCACCTCAGACRTGGCTTCCTTGAGGGTGCCGTGGTGGTGTGGAAGCCGCCCTAGAAGTTAGGCCACTGTTTCCTCTCTGGCTGTCTGTGGCCCCACACGGACCTCCAGATGTCTGCCRAGCGGTGGGCCTGGTGCTGGCCAGAGCCACGGTGCTCCTCCCCTGCCCAGGGCTGGGTCCGGCCATGGCTGCCAGGCAGGTGGCTTGGCCCGAGGCCATCTGGGACCACCACCGGGTGCTGCCCTCTTCAGCAGAGCCACCGGGCCAGGCAGGTTTGGGGAGTGCGGCCTCCTCATGGGGCCCAGGCTATGGAGGCCGACCCGCGGCAGCTGGACGGGTTAGCAGCTGCTCAGGAAGGCCTGGCGGCACCTGCCTCCAGGACTATAGGAAGGGTCTTGACCCTGGAGCTTCCTCCAGCAGAGCCGACCTTCTCCAGAGTCTGTCTCTGAACTCTGAGCCTCAGACCCTGGTGGACCTTGCCCACAGGGAGCCAGGACACTGGCCTTCAGGCTTGGCAGAGGTGTCACGGTGCCCAGGCCCAAGGCTGCCCACTTCCTTCAAGCTCCAGGGGCTCCAGAGACATCTGTGGGGGCCACCCACAGACTGCAGCCCGCCTCTCCCACACCCTGTGAGCACCACGTCTGCCGGCCCTGTGGTCCACTCCCCCCGCTCTTTGTTCTCTTCTGTCCAGTCCTGGTGCCCTTCCACTGAGCTACCTCCCAGAGTCTCCCTAAGTTGCTGAGGCTGGCCTTGAACTTGGGATCTTCCAGCCTCAGCCTCCTGAGTTGCTGGGGTGACAGATGAGTGCCATGGTATTCAGCTAAAAGGAAGGACATGGTGACACATGTGACACATGGGAAGACCTCGAGGACATTATCCTGAGTGAGATCAGCTAGCCCCAGAGACACACCCTATGTGATTTCCATGACCCAGGCTCCCCAGGAGTCAAATCACAGAGACAGAGAGTAGGAGGGGTGCCAGGGGGCTGGGGTGGGAGACACAGTGTYTGAATGTGCTTGCCGCCCCGGTGCACACTGTGCCTGGTCAGGGCTCTCACCATAAGAGTTGGGAACCCCAACAGCCCCTGGGGCACAGGGGGATCCGCACAGCACCCGTGGCACAGTGCACTGCCTTGTTCAGCGTCTTCTGACTGGTTCAGGCCGTTTCTAGGCCTTCCCCCAGCAAACACAGCTGCATGAATGCCCAGAGCACAGCTCCTCCCAGACGGGGCCTCGGCTTCCCCAGGGTGGATTCCCAAATGTGCAGGGGCTGGCAGAGGCCGCCGTGGAACCCGGGGCCTTGCACATGCTGGACGATGGCGCCCCCTGGCTTCGCCACTTTATTTTTGAGACAGGGTCTTGCTGAACTGTCCGGGCTGGCTCTGAAGCAGTGGTCCTCCTTCCTCAGCTTCCCAAGTCTCTGAGGTTGTGGGTGTGCGCCACGGCCCTGGCTGAGGCGGGGATCTTAGAGCCAGATGGGAAAGTGGGCTTCAGGAGAGGAGGGACTCCCACAGCAGCCTCAGGACCTGGAAAGCACTGGGTGATGCTGGAAGAGAGCTGCCCCCAGTCCTGCCAGGGGAAGTGCCTTGGAGAGCGAAGGCCAAGGCCAGTTCTCAGACACGGGCAGTGGCTGATGTGCAGCGGTCCTGAGCGGCTCTGGGTAGGAGACCTGCTTCCAGACAGAGGCTCTGGCTGCTTCAGTGCCACGGCAGCAGAAGCCTCCAGTGCTCAGCCCGACCGGGACACAGAGTGGACCAGCCCTGGAGTGGAACGGTTCCGCTGAGGGGTGGAGCTCCAGTGCACGCTGCTCAGCGCCAGGAAACAGGGCTTTCTGGCAAAGCAGCATGGTCACTAGCTGACCAAGGTGACCGACAGAGACAGGAAGGTGTGGACTTGAAGCAGACCAGGAATSAGAAGAGATGCCCCTGAGCTGGGAGGGCAGAGCAGGAAGTAGACGTGGGGCTGACGTAGACCCCACATGCCCAAACTGCTGTCCACGTGGACTGACTCATGTGCCAACTGAAGGTCCAGGTGGCTGGCTGGCAGAACCACACCAGAACAGCCCCAGCCCCATACCCAGCCATCCATGACCCCCAGGTGGGGACAGAAGGCAGGGCCTGGGGCATGCCCCCAGTGCTCGACCACCCAGCCCCACCCAGCCCCCAGTCAACCGCACGCTACGGGCAGCAGACACAGAGACACGTCAGGCTGGCAGCCAAGGGGAAATAGTGACCAGCCAGGACAGAAGGGGCAGTGAGGCAGCGTCCTCACACCTGAGAGAGACCTTGCTGGGGACAAAGGGGATATTTCAAATGACGAACATCTTGGTCTACCAGGAAGTTACAGTGATTCTAAGTGTGTCTGGATGTAATACCCTGCTTCAAAATATAAACTCAAAGTGGACAGACTCAGAACCCAAACAGTAGGCAGCTTCTCAATCACGACAGAAATTCTGAGACACATCTCCCTAGAATCGATGGAGCAAGCCGACAAAACAGAGATCAGTTAAGACGGGAGACTGAAGATTCGRCCAGTTGAAGACACACAGCCGGCTGGCAGGCGTGCAAAGCCACAGAAGCCGGGGACAGCCTGTGTCGGCTGCCCCGAGCTGTGAGGACAGCAGCACCCTGGCCTGTGTAGTTGCCCTGGCCGTCAAAACCAAGGGAAGTCAATCAATCTTCCTGTGTTCAGAAGTCAGGAAACCACAGTCCTAAACCATGAGGATTCAGAGAAGCGACACCACTTGGCGGTATTGACCCTGAAGAATCAGGTCATCTTACTAGAGTGGCACGTGCAGACCCATGTCTATGGCTGCTCAATTCACAACAGGCAAACCATGAACCAGCCGAAGTGTCTGTCCGTACACGAATGATAGAGAAAATGAGGTGTCGACACACAATGGAGTTTTATTCAGCCGTAAATAAAAATGAAATTATGGCATTTTCAAGAATATCAGTGGAACCAGAGACCATCCTATTCAGCAAAATAAGTGAAACTCAGAAGTCAAGGGTCATATATTCCCTCTCATATGTGGAAGCTAGAAAGGATAAAAAAGAAAACCAAGGCGGGGTTGCTCTCCTGAAAATCATAAGGAGATCAGGAGCGGGAAGGCACCCAGGGTGGTGATCCTGGCCAAGCTGTAGGTTGTACTGTGTGCAGGCGTGGATAGGAASAGCAAATCCCACCATCGTCTGTGACGGTGACGCTCTGATAAAAATGAGGGGAAAAGAAGCTGCTGTGGACACTAGAAACTCTGTTTAAATTGGTTATGTGAACATAAAGCCAACTGGTGGGGTGGAGCCAAGCTGGGGACATGCTGGAGAGAAGAGAGCCTGTGGTGACTGACCTCGGAGACTCATGGAGGAAAGGGAGGGAGGATGGAGGACGGAGAAGTGTGCACCACAGGAAGGGCCCACAGCTGGGGCTGGACGGCGGGCCTTAAGGCTCCTGAGAAAAGGAAGAAAACACACGTGACTCCAGAGAACCTAAAAGCTCAGTGAAGAAAACAGACAGCTGATTTAAAAATGGGGAAAAAAGACACTCACCGACATTTCCAAAGAGGACAGGCTGCGGGCAGCTGGCAGGCCCCCTTCCTGCCACTAGGAACCCGAAGTCAGCACAGCCAGGAGACACCACAGCCCCCGCGGCCAAACCCAGAGCCACACGGAGCGCAGAGCGGGGCTCTGGGAGGCCGTGGGGTGCTTGTTAACATGGAAACACACTTGCCTCAAGACCAACAATGGTGCTCCTCCTGTTTACCCCAGCCCCTGCACCTGCCTGTTGTGAGCTGGGCAGCTGCCCAGGCCGGCCCCCTGGTGGGTGGAGAGGAGCACCGGGCSCGGCCCTCAGGCCACTGAGCACCATCCAGCCCTGAAGAGAAGGCACCAGCAAAGACATGGAGGGAATTTAAACGCACGTTTCAAGGGAAGAAAGCCAGCTGCAAGGCTGCTGTGACACATGACAAAGGTACTGTGGTCACCGTGGGGCATGGTCTGGGTAGCAAGCTGGGTCCCAGAGGATGCTCAGGACACTGGGCTGTGCATCTGTCAAGGACCATGGACAAGCCACGCTGGAGCATGTTGTCAGCCCTGGGGGCRGGGGGGGGTTGCTGCAGGTGAGGGGCAGCCYGGGGACTACAGCTCCTGCCCACTTTTCCTGCAAACCTCAAACTATTTTTAGAAGTGAAATTCATCCATTTAAGAGTCTAACAAAAACTCTACTAGTAAGATAAAGAAGAAAGACGTCCATATTCATACAATCTGCGGGATACAGACTTGTGCAAACGTGACCAGCCACGGGACCTGGGTTCAGGACACCCGCCCTGGACACCCTGTGCACCCTGGTCAGAGCTGGGCCCACTCACTGTCCTGGCCCTCTGTCCCTGGACATGGTGCCCAGATGTGTAGTCACACAAGTGCAAGTCAGCAGGCTTTGAGGCGAGCAGGCAGCCTCCTGGTCGGCCAGGGCCTCTGAGGAGGAGGAGGGAGGAGGGAGGAGGGAGAGAGGGCCCAGGAGCTCTGGACCAGGTCCCCGTGACGGCCTTATTGCAGGTGCCTTCAAGCTTCCTCCGTGCTGTAGCTCTTGATTTCCCTCCTTCCTGAGACTGAGCCCACCCCATGCAGGGAGGCACTCCTTCACCTATTGGTTGATATGGGGTCACCTCTGCCACCTGACTTCAGGGAATGGCACTGCTAAGCACCTGGGAACCGCGTTCTTTCTTTGTCTGAAGGATATTCTACTAGGCAACCACTGGTTTTTGAAATTAGATGGCAGTAAAGCCTAAGAATCAGAAGTGACCCTGCTGTGTGACACATGGTGGTGATGATGACACCCTGTTCCTGAGCTGCAGCCCTTCCAGCCTTGCCTCTGGGCTGGGTGTGGTGAGAACGACGGCACAGGATTCCCCACCAGTGAGTGGGCAGCCCGACTGGGTCAGCGGGTGCAGGCATGAACCATGTTCACCACCCAGGGGCTGCGGGGCCTCAACTGCCCCTGAGCACCCGCCACACCTCGAACTTCCAGAAACTCTGGGTGCACATGGTGGAAGGGTCCACCCACATTGGGTCACTGACCCCTGGAGCTGAGTGCTGCCCCTGACCCGCGTGGGCAGTTGAAGTTCAGGTCGCTCGTGTGAATTTCCAGGGACACCAGATAAAACCCAGGCACACTTTACCTTAAAACAGGYTTCTCCGCCCCCCAAATGGGAGAGCAAGGGACAGTCCCGAGAGGCTGGCAAGAGAGAGCAAGCACGTGTGGAAGTGGGCTTTGATCGGGGGGACCCTTGTTCTTAGAAAGTTCTCTCCAAAAAAGGCCAGAAGGGGCAGGGTTATGAGGGACAGGGAGTGTGATTCAACCCCAGGGGTGAGACTTACATCTGAAGACACACCTTTCATTTCCTGAGCTGGGACCATGTCCAAGTCACCACAAAATGGAGGGACTGGTCAGAATCTCCTGCTTCAGAACTGGAAGGCAGGGGTCATTCGGAGTGGCTCCCCACAGCTGAGATCCCCAGGGCTCACCCACTGGCCCCTCACATCCTGCGAACCCCCCAGTGCCTTGGAGGTTCCAGGTCACCAGCTCGGTCTCCTGCTGCCCCAGGGGTGCCTTCAGGTCTCTGCAGGTTCTCCTGCCTGGAGACTTGGCTGTCCCCTGGACCCTCAAGGGCAGGACTGAGACGGTGTCCTTCATGAAGGGCCTCCAGGTGGGACTTCAGGACTAGGGCACAGGAGAGGCAGGTGCCGGGCACCGGGAGCAGGGTCCAGGAACCTGGGGGCATCTCTCTGTTGCTCTGGGGACCACCCTCTGGGGTTAGCCCCACCTGGCTCCCAAGAACCCAGGACTGGATGAGGAGCCCAGGGAAGACCCAAAGGACCAGCATGGGCGGGTGGGCACAGCTCAGCCAGGGCTGTGACACGTGCCCTGGGGCAGAGCGCGGCATGGAAACAGTGAGAAGACAGCTCTGGTGGCCCCTGACGGGAAGGGAAGCGGGTGGGAAGTGCTGATGACTGCTCTCAGTTCTTATCTGAGCCTGCTGTCACCGCAAGGGCCCCGCTGCCAACTGCACCCAGGCAGGCTGCCTGGCCTCCCCCCCCTCCCTGGGTCTTTTGCTTTAAACTGGTGCCTGGTGATTACACGGTGTAGTGGCCCCACGAGGCGTGTCCACGCAGAACCTGCTGGAACCATCTCCTTAGCAGAGCCCCACCGCCCCTTCCTCTCCCTCCCGCCTCCCTTGTTTTCATGAGACTGTTTTTCCCCTTCTCCTTTTTTCTCTTCGTCTCCCACATCTGACCCTTGACTCCAACCAAGCTCTTTTAAACAGAGTGTATGAATCAATCTGAGTTTTATTTTGGTATTTTCGATGCTCAAATTGGTGTGTCATGTGGGGGAGAGTGAACTGTCACTGTACTCCTGCTCTCTGCCGAGCCAGGGGCTCCTCATACCACAGTGAGGGGCTRCCGCAGTGGGAGGCGACTCTGGCCAGCTGGGGGTGGACTCTTGTGGCAGGGCCAGCTGTGGTCCCCGGTGCAGTCCTCATTCCCCAGGTTGCCCCTACCCTGGAGGTGTTTCCACAGAGACCAGGCAGGACCCCACCCTCCCAGGCTGGGTCTGCCCTCCTGAGGTCTGAGGCTGCGCCCTGCTCCTCGCATCCAGATCTTGCCCAGCAACTTACTGCTGTGTCTGTTTACTTTGCAGGGCTGGAGGACAGTGCTGGCCCTGTCACGTCTGTGTCCAGCTTCTCCTGTCACACTGTCCACAAATGTGCCAGAGCCGTTTCTGAGGCTAATCTCCCCTCCCAGAGCCCCGGCACTTGCTGGACACTCCGTCTTGCCACAGACCTCCTTCCTGTCCTGGATGTGGTCCCCATGGGCCTCCAGCAGACGGGACCCAGGGCAGTGGGCTCAGGAGGAGCTTCAAGGGCTGAGTGGCGGGCAGTAGCAGCACCTGAGGAGCTGGGCCAGGTCCACTGCCCCAGGCCAGGAGTGGGTGGGGAGGGGCATCTGCCAGGTCCTTGGTCATTAGCCAGGACCCCAGTGTGGAGCAGGAATTGCCTTCCCTGGGCTGGTTCTCTCCACTCTGGTGGGAGGCACAGCTGCATCCTTGCCAAGGCACCCCGGCCCCTCTCTCATGGCCTGGTGTGGTCCACCTATTCTGCTGCCACCAACCCTGGGGACAGGCCCAGGGACACTTCTGCCCACTGGGGACCCTGGGAAGAGCCTGAGGGTGCGGAGTGTGTGGGTTCCCACTGCCGTTGGAGGTTTGCACAGCTGGGGAGCTGTGTGAGCAGAGATGAGGCTCAGGAAGGTGCTGTGTTTCTGGCCTTGGGAGGGCCAGCACCTGCCTCCACCTCGAGCCTCAGCCCAGCCCCCGACCTGTCCTCCTTCCCGCAGTTCCGTGCGTGCGCAGGACAGGATGCCCCAGGCTTCTGTCATTATTTAATGAGAATAGCAGAGAACCCCAGCCCTGACTGCAGAGGTACCCCTGGTCAGTCCAGGCCCTAGCTGCCTGTCCTGGATGGCAGAAGAGTAGGGGCACCCAGCACAGGGAATACTTGACCACCTGGCCCACCCTTGGTGGGAGCCCACCAAGATCTGCTGAAAATAAACACTGTGACCGAGAGCCAGGGAGAACTGGACTTCCTGGAGAGGACAAATGGGGACCCGGGGTGCCCGTGCCACTGCCCCACTCCTCCTGCCTAGGAGGGCCCTGGCTGGTCGGCTGACAAGGGACCTAGTCCTCCAGGTGAGCCGGGAGGGTGCTGCAGGGCTCCCTGGGGCAGGCGGCCTCTGGCTCTGCCCTCTCCCTCACTGCCTCAGCCGGCTGGAGGACAGTTCGAGGTGCTGCCTGGACCCATGGGGGGGAAGGGCTCCTGCAGAGGGTCCGATGGTGGGAGCCCTGTGCCCCCACCCTGCGGGCTGTGGGAGCTCTCTTCTGGCTTGGCTGAGACTCCTCGGCCTGTGGCCCCTGGGCCCATCTGTGGACTGCCCCTCCGTGGCAGCCTTAGGGCTGTGTCCACTGTGCGCCTGGACATCCTTGCTGTCAGGTGCCTCCCAGAGCCTGCCCCTCAGCATTCTGCAACCAGGCCCCAGCTTCAGGCTTGGGGCTCCGTGGGAGGCTGTGGGGGCCCGGCGACTGGAGCAGCAGGATTCGGAAGAGCTGGGCCCAGGCCAGCCCTCTCCCGAGGCCTGCAGCCATGGCCATGTCCAGCACTCCACATCAGGAGACGGTGGTCTGCCACTGCCAGCTCCTGGAGAGCATGGAGATGAGCCTCCATCCATGGGGCCCGGGCAAGGCTGGCCTGGGGGCCTGGTGGTCACCACCCAGGTGGCTTGGCCCCTGAGGCCCCTGCTGCTCTGCCTCTTCCTCGGGGAGGAGCTGGCCCTGGGTTCTTGGCAGGAGGTCTGCAGGATGCCAGTGGTCACAGGGGCCAAGAGCAGTGTCCATCCTCATGCCTCAAAGGCTGGGGACCCTGGGGGCTGTCTGCCGAGCCCCTGCGGCCTGGGGACGAAGGGAAGACAATGGTGGCATATTCTGTGTGTATGCCGGAGGCGGGGGGCTCAGGGGTCGGGGTTTTTTCTCGCCACTGGAAGTCCAGCTCCCCGTAGTCCAGGGTGGAGATGGGCACTTCTGAGGCCTCCTCCTTAACAGAGAGAGGGAGAGAGGGAGAAGTTGGCAACCTAGGACCCACCACCCCACCACCCAGACCCCGAAAGACAGAGCCTGCACCCCATCACCCAGACCCCAAGAGAGAGCCTGCACCCCATGATCCAGACCTGGGCCTCCAGGCCATCCCCCATCGCCCCTGCGTGACCTGGGTTGTCAACTGTCCTGGGCACTCCTGAGACCCAGGATTCCAAACTGTGGTTTCTAGCTCTCTTGGGTCCAGAGCAGGCTAAGCCATGCCTCGCCCACACCACAGCTCACAGCAGGCACACCTGTGGCTGTGCACCCTGGGCAGCAACAGGCAGGCTGCGCACGAGGGGGGGCTCTGGGCACCTGGGAGAAACGGTCCTGTCGGCCCACAGACGCCAGCCCCTCTGCCTGGCCAAGCCCTGAGGCAGAGAGTGTTGACCACTCGGGTCGGGGACGCAGACTCACCAAGGGCTGCTCTTTACTTCTGGCTCCTCCATTCTCTGCAGGGAAACACATTCTAAATCCAGGGCAGACGCAGGCTGCCCTCCCAGGACAGGGCCTTACTCGGGGTCCCTCCCTGGGCCTCCTCGTCTGTCCTGGGGTTTCTCAGACCCTGAGGGGGTATCCAGGGAAGGGTGCCATGGCTTCCTCCCTGGGCAGTGACTAGGAGCCCCCCGCTGGATGGAGAATCCTGGCGTGTGCCTGCTGCAGGGACAGGCCTGCCTCTGCCTGCCCCTGGTGCACTGTGATGCTGTGTCTGGCCCTGGCTGCCCAGAGGGGCCCACAGCACACCCTGCAGCACGAGGAGGAGGGAGCTGGGCAGCCCAGGGACCTGGCCACTCTGAAGGGGCGTGGGGCTCTGTTCAGGCTGCAGGGCAGCATCACGTCACTGGCACTAAGAAGCTCGCCCAGGACAAGACTGCAGCATCGACTCTGACCCCTCCCTCCAGCCCGGAAGGGGCCTGTCATCATCAGTGACTCAGCAGGGATGGGCTGTGTGCACGGTGGTCACCACAGGCCCCCACTGTGGTCAGGGTGGAGTGGGGGCAGAGAGGAGCGGGAGGCCTGGCAGGACAGTGGCAGGGCTGTGACAGGCCTTACCTGGCAAGGTGGTGGAGCAGGTGGTGGCCAGGACCCAGGCCAGCAGCAGCAGCACTGGGACGCCCACCAGGAYGCTCGTGACGCCAACCACCAGGCCTGGAAGCTGGCCTGGTGGCCTGGGCGAGGGGCGGGGATGTGCCGGGAGGGGCTCCAGTGTCGAGGACTCTCGGACCCTGTCTGGAGGGCCAGAGGGTCAGGGGTCAAGGTCCACCACATTGTGTCCCCCAGGCCTTCAGCGGACCTCTGCGAAGTCTGAGGAACGTCTCCTCAGATCCGTGGAGACAGGCCATCGTCCTGGCCTGACCTGGGGAGGGCTTCCAAGCACAGCCCACTCTGGGGGCACCGGCCACCCCTCAGAGGCACACGGGGCTGGGGGCTTCCAGAGGGCCCTGGGGGTGTCGGGTCCCGCAGAGCCCTTGACTGAGCCGGGGGCCCCTGGACAGGAGGTRCTGCCCACCCTGGCCGTGCCTGGTCCCCACCTGTCACCCTGAGCTCGGCTGTCGTCTCCTGGATCTGCACCTTGGAGGACAGGGAGATGGCCCCGCAGAGGTAGAGGCCACTGTCATTGTGCTGGGCAGAGATGACGCTCATGTGGAAGTCAAGCCTGCTGGGCAGCTGAGTGACTCGGAAGCGGGGGTCCCTGCCCGGCTCACTCAGGCCGCTGCGGAAAGAGGCCAGCTTGATGTTCTGCTTGCTGGGGCTCAGGCGGTACCAGTTCAGCACCAGGTGCTCCGACCAGTTGGAGAAGCTGCAGGTGAAGGTGGCGTTCGCTCCTTCCTGCACAGTGAGCTGAGTTGGGGAGCAGCTGAAGAGGCTTGAGGGCCTGTTGGGGGACTCTGAGATGGACGGAAACAAGCAGCATGAGCAAAGGGCCTGGGGCAGCCCACGTGACCCTCCCCTGACGTGTCCTGGGACAGGAGCAGCTCTCACAGGCTTCCCTGGCTCGAATCCCTCGACAGTGCCCTTGCCCACCTTCCTCCAGCCTCTCCTGGAGCCCTGGGGACAGATGCTCACCTCGACACAGGGCTTTCCTTTGACTTTCTTCTGAGACCTGAGACTAGGGCTTGGGTCCAAGATTCTGCTCTGAACCAGGTTCCCCTAGAGACCCTGGCCCTCMTTCCCTGGACTCCAGGTGGCCAGTCCCCCAGAGAGGGCTGAGCTGGGGCTTGCATGGGCACTGGGACGCAGGTGGCGTGGCCTGGCCTGGTCCTGGACGGGGTCACAGAGATGCTGAGCTGATGGGGAGGGACCTCTCATGAGGCCCCAGCCAGGGAGGAACGGGTCTCCTAGGCAGGCTTGGTTCTGAACTGTGCCCTGGCCCAGAGACCATGTGGCATGGACAGTGCTGCCCTGGGCAGTGGGCAGTGTGGGGGCCCACCTGTCCCAGCAAGAGGCCCCCAGAGACCAGTTGGGCCATTGTGCTCAGATGAATGGAAGGGGGGCCTCAGGGCTGGGCCCCCCACGCTCACGGGCAGGTCTCTGCCAGGGCCCTTGGGGACACTCCACACAGCATACCCGGGGGAGGCCCTCTGAGAGGTGGGCACGCTCTAGGAGGTGGGAAGGTGAGGCCCAGGCCTAAACCTGCCGCGGACCCGACTCTGGTGTGTGCTGGCCCCATGAGGCTAAGCACGCGCACAGCAAAGGAACCTCCCATGCACACACCTCTGGGCGCTGCCCAGCCTCAAGGTCAGCTCTGGGACCAGGCCGTGAGGACACCCACCCACACTTTCTCAGTTTGCATCCTCTGCTGCTGTCCTGCTCACAGGCCAGCTTCATCCCAGGTGCCCACTGCACAGCGGCAGTGTGAGGCTGCCAGGGCCGCGGTCCCTCTGTCCAGGGACAGGATGGCCTCTGAGATGAGGGGCTCAAGGTGGCTGTGGCACCCAGGAGGACAGGTGCCTGGAGTCGGGGTGTTTGCAGGGCCTGTGGCGGCCAACCAGTGAGGTTCCCGAGGCCGTCTCCAGAGACCTGCTGGGTAGGCGCCTCCTCCCCACCCCAGGGGCAGGCTGGCTGCACCCCTGCTCCTCTTGCTGCCCACTAGCCATGGATGGCGAGGGCCCCGGAGGTCCAGTAAGGTGCCAACTGAACATGAGGTGGGCATGACTCAAGGATTGAGCTCGGGAGCCTCCAAGGGCCTGCACAGAGGTGTCGAGGCTGCAGGCCAGGAGGCCCTGGGCCTGGTGGGCTGTGGTCCAGGTCTATGGCTCTGTGAGGCCAAGAGGACCAGGGGAATGAGGAGGTCAAGGGGACTGGAAATGCCAGGCCAGAGCTAGGATGGCCTGTCCAGGCGGGGCTTCCTTCTCATCAGGGTGACACCACAGCCACGGTGAGCCYTTTTCTCTGTGACCCTGTGTCCAAGTCACACATAGCAGCTGGGCACGTAGGCGCTGGGTGGTATTAACATGCACCTTCTTCATACTTTGAATCAAGAAACACATGAAACTTCAAAGAAAACCTTAAATAAACATTGTACAGCTGGACTTAAGAGTCTGTAATTCCACCTCCTGGGACAGCAGATCGGGGGTGCTGGTGCTGCTGCCAGGGCTCCATGTCTGCTGCTCCGGGTCAGGGCCCTCTTCATTCCACCCAGTGTGGCCACTCTGTGGCCTTCTTCCGGGTCCAGAAACATGGGGTACCCTACCCGGCTCCCCAAATCCAGGGCCACACCCAGGCCCAACCACCAAAGCTTCCAAACAGATTCTCGTGCCATCTTGCAGAAAAGCCTGGGCCGAGCCAGGGGCCCTCCTCCTCGGGAGCCTGTCCTGTGCTGTGCAGCTCCACCAGCGCCTGTGGGTACACCCTTGCTCTCAAGGCTGGCTCTGGTCTGCCCAGGTGAGACCCGTAGGATGGTGCTGGTGGACTCCAGGACCGCTCCTCACCTTCCTCACCTGCTGCTGTGCCTGAATGTGTGACGATTGAGACACTGGTCCGTCTGCTGTCCTGCCCCTCACAGGGCACTGTGATTGCCTGGGCCTCTCCTGGGGTCTCGGCCCTGGCCCAGTCTGGGTGACCTGCCTGGTTCTGTCCAGATCTTGCCAGGGTGGTCGCTGCCAGCACATGCCTACCACACAGGGAGGCCTGTCCCAATCCTGCTGAGAGGTGCCAGCAGGGCAGGGAGAGCCCTCACAGACATCACCCTCAGCTGCGGGCAGTGCCCTGGTGTCCTGCTTGACCAGGGGACTGCTGAAGCATGCTGTGGTGTGATGGTCAGGGGCTCGAGATGCTGGGCCAGGGCACAGGAGCACAGAGGGGACCCCTGCCAGGCGTTTGGTCAACCAAATGGAGGAAGGTGACCCTGTACACAAAGGGCCCAAGAGAGCCCCTGGCATGGAGGGCACAGGCTGGGCCTTCTGGGACATCATGGAATCCATCTGGTCACAGGGACAGGCCCTGGTGAAGGAAGTGGGGGAAGGGCGGAAGCCCTGGGCAGCCCTCYGGGTGTCCCTCATGTGGGCTGTCTTGCCTGGGGACGGGCAGAGGGAAGGCTACTACGMGTCCTCCCAGGGCCCATGCACAGACATATCTGGGTAGAAGCACGAGGCRTGTTTTAAAAATGTCTGAGTGACCAGCTGTGGGGCTGAGGTCCAGGTCCTGTGCCCCAGGACTCCGGCTTTTCTACACTGTCTTCCCAAATGCCCTGTGTAATCCAGGATCTCAACGTCGCCTCTGCACAAACTGCCGTCGAAGCTGCCTTCGCTCTGTGACCTCGTGGCACAGAGGGGCCTCGGRCCTTTCTCTGAATCACTCCCCCCGCTCACTCAGGGACCTCCAGCTAGGCCCTGGGGACCCCAGGCTCGCTGGGAATGTCCTCCGGGGACCCACGGAGAGAACCACCTGGTTCAGCCCCTCTGCCCACCTGCCTGGGCAAGGGGTCTAGGACAGGGGAGGGGTTGTCGAGCACCCCGGGGAGGCCCAGCAGGGTCGGTGTCCCTCAGCTGGTCCAGTCMCACCCCACCTACCCAGGGCTTCCACCTCAGGACCACGGAGGGTTCAATGTTTGTCCCAGAATTCAGGTGTCAGAACCCCGTCCCCACAGTCACATACTAGAGGCATCTGGAGGGGACCGACAGGGCTGTGGGGCTTGGAGGCCCCCCCAAGGAGGCCAAAACCTCGCTCCTTACTCAGGCAGGACTCACGTGGGTGCTGAGAGCACTGTCAAGTGAGTCAAGGGTCCCCAGCACCCCACAGGGAAGAAGTGCCCTCACCCCGTGCCCAGGGTGGGATCCCTTAAGGTAGCCGCCATGCTCCTGGGCAGCATGGAGCCTCTCGGGCAGGTCTCAGCAGCCACAGCGACCCACACCGGGCTCTCTGGTACAATGTTGGCCCGGACCTGGACTCGGAGAACACAAGAGCCAACAGCCAGAGAAAGGCAGCTGGGGAACCCAGGGAGGGGACATTGGCGGAGCCCTTAGGCTGCCCCATTCAGGGGAAAGCAGCGAGCAGGGTGCTCCTGGGCTGCTTCTGGTGAGGGTGCTGGGTGGAGGGGGTCCCCAGAGGACCTGGCTGGGTACCTGGAGTGAGGCACCCCGGAGGTTCAAAGCCTGGCAGTCACCTGAGTGGCAGGGAGCTATGGGTGGTCTGTCCCTAAACTCACGCCTAGGGTCCTGTGCTCCGGTGACCACAGAAGGCAACCTTACTAAGAAGAGGGTGGCTGACCCCAYGGGCCAAGAGGAGGTCATTTTGGAGTAGGGCAGGCCCTCAACCCGTGGCATTGGGGAGCTTGCAGAACAGAAGACATGGACAGACTCACACAGAATGAATGCAGAGCTCAGGAGAGGCTTCCGGAGCCCGAGATGCCAGAGCGGCTGGCCAGTGCACAGGCTAGAGGGGGGTCCCCTGGAACGGCCAGAGGGTGCCTTCCTGTCTTGCAGCCCCAGCAGCCTGGCCAACCAACACAAAGTAGCACTGCAGTCAGCAGGCCAGGGGCTGGGGTCGCTACTGGGCTTCAACTTTTCCCTATGGTATTTTCCAAAATCCTAGGTAGGAAAAAAATCAACCAATCTGACTAAAACGTGTCACTGGCTGTGCGGTACCTGGATGGCAGGGCACGGGCCCAGCTGGATGAAGCCCTGGGTTCCATCACAGCCCCACCCAAACCAAACAGAATCCCCTAACCCAAAAATAAGCTCTGGGTTGGGCTGGGCACTTTTCACAGATGGTACAGCGAGTCTCATGGCCGACAGGCCAGCACTAAGTCCTCGAGCCGAAGGGGCGAGGAGCAGAGAGGCTCTGGCCTGCCACGGTCACAAGGCCACCTAAGTTTCCCACTTCAGGGCTAAGTCCCAGCTGCTCTTACTCCCCAGGAGTCTGGGGTACCGCGAGCATGAGTCAGACCCCTGCAGAARGTGCAGGGCCACCCATGAGAAGGACCAGGATGAACGAGGTGAGTCTGTTGGGGACCACGGAAGTCCAAGGCCTCCAGGGGCCCTCAGGTCTGGCAAAGGGTGAGCAGGACACGGCCTTGATGAGGTTTACTGTGCTGAGGGTTACTGGTGGGGAAACTGAGGCACAGCACCTTGGAGAATCTCGCCCAGGCACAAGCCAGTGTCTGGAGGCAGAGATGGCCTCCGCTTGCTCAGTGTGGGGTGCAGGCCAGCTCTGGCCCAGACCTGTGGTGGGGGGCCTCCCTTTACCCCCTCAGTTCTCCTTCCTCAGACCAGGCACAGCCCTCTGCCAGGCTCCCACAGCCAGGCCCCCCTTCTAGCCACAGGCCCTTGGCCACCATCTCCAGGTCTGCTTCCTCCATGGAGGCCTGAGAGCAACCCATGGGTCTTCTCAGAGAGGCCAGCTGAGTGTGGAGGCAGGCCCTTGCTGAGGACCCAGCCACAGCCAGGCCTTTGGGCATGAGGAATGTCAGGGTGGCCCAGGACCTGTCCCTTGTCTGGGTCCTGCAAGGTCAGAGGTTAATCTTGGTCCTGGAGCTGGGAGCCCCCTTCTCCAGATGCAGGCCTGGGCCTGGGCCTTCAAAGGGATGGAGATGTGCGGCACAGAAGAGTCCAGGGCACGGGCAGCCCAGGGAGGGTCTTCCTCCACGGTGGGCAGGAAGACCAAGGGCTCCCCAGTCTGGGGCTCAGTGCCAGGGATGCTGGACCCCAGGACTCCAGCCTCCCCAGAGCGCCTGGTGGTCACTAGAGCCCCTCCTGGCAAGTGTCCTGGGCCCATGAGGGGCTGGAGGACAGATGGCCAGGATGCCAGGACYGTCATGCTCTTGATGTCTTAGAGAAACATCAGCACCCATCTGGGCTCTGTCCCAGTGGGGCTGCCCCATCCACACCCAGGCCTGGCAGGCTCAACACACAGGGCCCTGGTGGCCAAGGCCTGGGGCTCTGGCCAGACTGACCGTGTTCTACAGAGAAGGTGCTGGCTGGCATCCCACACCCAAGACCAGCTGACATGGCACAAGGGTGGTGCCTGCCAGAGAGCAAGGAGGGCAGAATTGGAGRCCAGAGTAGGAGCCTCACCTGCCAAACACAGGCCCCCCCACCTGCCCCACCAAAGCACCCCTTCCCACCACAGCCGCCGAGGGTGCCAGTCCCTCTGAACCAGCCCCCACCCTGATCCCATGTCTCGGGGCCCCATTACCTAGGAGCCATCCTGGCCTCCAGCCCAGCTGCAGCACCGCCCAGGCCAGCCACCAGGTCACCCACCGGACCTGCATGCCCAGAGAGCYTGCCCGCGCCTCGCGCCAGCTGCCGAAGCCTCCATAGTGGCTCCGTCAGAGATGGCAGGAAAGGAAACCGACCCGGGTCAGTGGGAGGGAGGGGACCTGCCCTCGCCCCCGCCCCCTCTTCCTCCACTTCCACGTGGGCGGGGAGAGCCTGGGGCGCGGAGCGAGCGGGAGTGGGGGAGGAGGGCCGGCGGGGGAGGGAAAGAAGTGGGGGAGGGGGCCTAGGGGAGGGGAGGACAGATGGGGTGGGGCAGGGAGACGACCGACTGGAGGGGAGGGGGCGCGGAGAGGGCGGGTGGGAGCCGAGGGGAGGGGGCGGGCTGGGCCAGCCGGGAAGGGGAGGGGGGAGGCGGGGGCTTGGGGTCTCCGGCCCCTGCGGCTCCGGCGGGGCGGGGTCCTGGTGCGGGGCGGGGTCCTGGTGCGGGGCGTCCGGCGGGTCCTCGGGGAAGCGGTTTGCTGGTTTCCTCGCGCTCTGCTCCGCGCATCTCGTCGGGCAGTGGAAAACAGGAAAAAAAACCACACACAAAACTGCTGATATTAGCGATGACACGTGGGTCTCATCGCCCGAAATCACCCGCCGCTGGAAACCGCCTGCAGCGCGCCCCGGGCGCTCGGAGGAAGCGCGGCGAGGGGAGCGGGCGGTGGAAAGAGCGCGTCAGGGAGCGGGGCGCCCGGCGGGAGGGCCCCGGCCGCACCTGCGGGACGCGCCGCCGGGCGGGGGCGGGGGCGGGCCGGGCGCCGACGGAAACCTCCCAGTCTCGGTTCCACCGTCTGTTCCGTGTTCAGTCTCGGTCCTGACGGCAGCGKCGGAGGCTTCCAGTGGACCCTGCGGCCCCCGCCTCTGCAGGACAGAGCTGACCCGCCTGCTGGGTCCACCTGGGCCGGGGCGGGGAGGCTCTGGCCTGGGAGATGTCGCCCCTCCTTGGGGTCTCCTCAGCACCCCAGGCGCTGCCCTTGATTCTGTCTGCAAGTGCTTGGCACCTCTCCACCGGGAGGGGACCCGACCCTCTCCCCTTTCTTTCCTTCGCCTCTCTKTCCCATCCTCTCCCTTTTCTCCTCTTCCTCTCAGCTACTGGACCCTGCGTCTGTCCTGSTCCTCAGGAGGGGTAGGGGCCTGACAGGGGTCCTGCTTGGTCCCCCATGCCACCATGTCCTGGAGCCCCAGTGGACCTAGAGATGATGCCTGGGGATGCTGGGGTCCYGGGGCCTGAGGGCCAGGGCCTGGAGGCAGGCAGAGCAGGTCTCAGGGGCTGGCAGACCTGGACCCAGAGCATCCCGGACCACACCCACAGCCTCCGACCAAAACCCTCCCCCAAACACAGTCCTCAATATCCACTACCCCAATAAGTCCCTCCTCCATCACACTGTCCCCTGAGCATGGGGGGCCGGCAGCCTTGCCCCCCGGTGCTGGTCTCTTCCCACTCTTCCTGGAAGGGATAACCCAGCCATCTTCTTCTGGCCACACTTCCCTGTTCTATCCTGTTTTTGAAACATTTCACCTGCCTTGGCTGGGTGTTGGGTGGAGACACAGTCTGAGGCAGTTGAAGGGGTCTTTAGAGCAAGTTTTGTGTTTTGGTTGAGGACAATTGAGGCAGTTGTAGGAAATGGTACATGGGAATTACTGGTGAGTTCTGACTCTGAGAAGCTGAGATGCAGTGCAGGTGCAGGGAGCTGACTGCTGAGCCGCCCTGTCTCAGCTGGGCTGAGGGAAGCCAAAGACTGCCCCCACAAAACCCCACACCCTCCTCTTGGCCCCCCGGCTGGTTCCCACGCTGGGGTGTCCCTGGGGGTCCTCCCGCCACGTGTCTCAGTTCTCTGGTGTGGTGTGCACCCATGATTTCCCAGTTTCCAGCCATTTCCCCACCGGACAGGGGGAATTCCCGYGACTTGAGTCAGGCTGTGGGAAATGCTGGCTGGGGTCTGGGTGGGCCCATTTTCACTTCTGCCATGTGATTGCCTGGTGTCGGGGTAGCATCTGGGTGGTGCTTCTGTTTGGTCAGTTGGGTGATGAGTTCCCTGCTGGACCGCTGACCAAGTCCTGACAACTTGGCCAAGAGTTTCCTGAAGCCAGATCTTGAGAAGTCCCCCCAGCGTGGGGGCCTCCGATCCCCTKGTCTGAGAGAGGAGAGCTGATTTCCCAGGTTACCCACCGTGAGTCAGTGTAGACAGGTGGAAAGTGGGGGGAGGGATAGGGAAGTTCCCTCAGGGGACAGGGCTAGGGACGGCAGGAAGCCCTGGGGTCATCTGAACCACTTYTGCGGGCAGTGCCAGCACCCCTGACCCGAGGCCCGCTGGCTGGGCCCAGAGTGAGGTTCCTGTGGGCCCTGTGGCCCGGGCAGCACCTCCTTCACAGCTTCTTCTGAGGTTGGAACAGGAAATGGTTAATACTGTTTGCAAATAAAAACTTTCTGTTCTATCCTGTTTTTGAAACATTTCCCAGAAATTGAAGAAAGAGCAGCTAATATACTTGCCCAATGATGAACCAAGTTTAAAACACCAAATGGGACATTTCCAGTGTATCGCCCTGGAGGACCACTGGGCTGTGGCTAAGACAGGAGTCTCCTACCCACCTTCCGTTGTCCCTAAGCTTTCTGGAATTCCCGCCCTACTTTAAATGTCTCAGTGTGACCGTGTGTTTGTGTGTGTGTGCTGTGTGTGCAGATGTGTGTCGGGGGGTGTCAGGTCCCAGCTGGCTGAGCGCCCCTCTTGGCACCGAAGCCAGGCCCAGCTGGCAGACAGCAGCTTCCCTGTGAGTGTGTGGATGGTCAGGCTCCTGGGAAAGCTCCCTGGAACCAGGGTGGAGGCCAGGCCACTGAGCTGGCTGTGGGACCCAGGCTTCCTGGACAGCAGAAGGGTCTTTAGGAGCAGAGCCAGCTGATGAGGGCTGCCAGCCTAGCTGCTGGGGACCCGGCCACGGTGGGGGCAGTCCAGGGCAGGAGCCTGCACCTTGACCCTGTGGCCATGTTAGTGGCTGGGCCAGGTGCCAGGGCTCACCTCCTCTGCTGGGGCTTGGGGCACAGGAGCCTCACCCCAGTCCAGGGGGGGCCTCCTGCTTCTGACGGGTCCTGTCCCTGCTCCGTGCCTCCCCGCGTCTCTCTCCTCACACTCAAGGCTGGTTCCTGCTGGCAGAGAGCTGTCCAAAATGGGTTGACTGGCCTTATGCCGGGTCCTCTCTTGGCCTACAGCCTCACTCCTCTGTGTGTGTGTTTGCCAGAGGGTGTGGCTTCTGCCACCCTCCGGGTCTCACCCAGGCTGAGGACACAGGCTCAGGGGACAGTAGTGGGCTACCTGCACTTTGGGGAAGTCTTGCGAGGCTGCCCCCCCTGCCAGCTGCCCTGGCCCTCACTGAGCGGAGTTCAGAAGCTGGGCCCTGGTGGGTGAGCGAGGCCAGGAGCCGAGGCCTGGGATGGGTGCTAGGCCTCCCTCCAGGAGGGCTCAGGGTGCTGAGCTGCTACCAGGCTTCCCAGACAGTTCTTTCCCAGGGCCCACTGATGCTCTGTCCTGGCCTGTCCCAACCTGTGACCTGCTAGCAGGACAGAAGTCCCCACTGAACCTGGCTAGCCTGGAGAGACCAGTGTTGACTTGGAACAGCCTGAGGAGTGCGCCCCATGTCCAGTCCCAGGCTGGACCCCAGCTGAGGCTCAAGACACACTTGGGGGGGGGCATGCAGTTGCCTTCGTGGATTCCTRATAAAGAAAGAGGAGCATTTGTGGTGACCTGTGTGTCAGCCAGCTTGGATGTAGCCTTTGGGGACCTGGGTGGTGGGTGTGCAGCCATAAATGGGCGGGTGGACAGAGGCATATAGCCCCAGCCCCTCTGTGGCCCTGGGTGTCTGGAGAAGTCTGGRGTAGGTCTGAGGAGAGCCATTAGATGGGCTCAGAGCAACTTGCTCCCTGCACTTTGGGGTCACAGTTGCCACCTGAAGGTGACTTTCTGGTGGGTGTGATCAGCCACAATCCCAGAGCCTTTCCTGAACTCTGAGGAGCCTGGGAGATGGCCAGAGTACTGGAGACAGCCGGGGTGGGGCCCAGAGCAAGGCTGTCGGGGCAGCAGGCAGCAGGATTTCCACAATGTCCTGGCACCAAAACAGAAGCTCACATCCTCAGGCACAGTCCTGGTGGGTCCTCAGGGCGGCCAGGGCCAAGTCCATGGTGGACACTCCAGGCACATTGGCAGTTTGTCACCCTGGAGGACCACTGGGCTGTTATTCAGCAGTAGACTCTTGGTGCAGTCTATTTCTCACTTGAAGAAATACAGAGGTGGGTCAGGCAGAAGGATGTGGCGACACCAGTGGTTCCAGGGACAGGTTTCTGCTCTTCTCCTTCCACATAGAGGGAAGGAGGGAGGAGGTGGAGGAGAGGGAGGTGGAGGAGAGGGGAGGAGAGGAGAGGGGAGGTGGAGGAGAAGGGAGGTGAGGAGAGGGGAGGGGAGGAGAGGTGAGGAGAGGGGAGGGGGGGGAGGTGGAGGAGAGGGAGGGGAGGAGAGGGGAAGTGGAGGGGAGGGAGG